AGAATTGTTACTCAGGGACACAGAATTGTTACTGAGGGCCACAGAACTGTTACTTAGGGCCACAGAAACGTTAGTTAGGGCCACAGAATTGTTACTCAGGGACAGACACAGAATTGTTACTGAGGGCCACAGAATTGTTACTTAGGGCCACAGAATTGTTACTCAGGGACACAGAATTGTTACTGAGGGCCACAGAACCGTTACTTAGGGCCACAGAATTGTTACTCAGGTACAGACACAGAATTGTTACTGAGGGACACAGAATTGTTACTGAGGGCCACAGAATTGTTACTTAGGGCCACAGAATTGTTACTCAGGGACACAGAATTGTTACTGAGGGCCACAGAACCGTTACTTAGGGCCACAGAATTGTTACTCAGGGACACAGAATTGTTACTGAGGGCCACAGAACCGTTACTTAGGGCCACAGAATTGTTACTCAGGGACACAGAATTGTTACTGAGGGACACAGAATTGTTACTGAGGGACACAGAATTGTTACTGAGGGCCACAGAAACGTTACTCAGGGACACAGAATTGTTTACTGAGGGCCACAGAAACGTTACTTAGGGCCACAGAATTGTTACTCAGGGACACAGAATTGTTACTGAGGGCCACAGAATTGTTACTTAGGGCCACAGAATTGTTACTCAGGGACACAGAATTGTTACAGGGACACAGAAGAATTGTTTGTTACTAGGGAGGGACACAGAATTGTTACTGAGGGCCACAGAACCGTTACTTAGGGCCACAGAATTGTTAATCAGGGACACAGAATTGTTACTGAGGGCACACAGGCCACAAACGTTACTTAGGGACAGACACAGAATTGTTACTGAGGGACACAGAATTGTTACTGAGGGACACAGAATTGTTACTGAGGGCCACAGAACCGTTACTTAGGGCCACAGAATTGTTACTTAGGGACACAGAATTGTTACTGAGGGCCACAGAACCGTTACTTAGGGCCACAGAATTGTTACTTAGGGCCACAGAATTGTTACTTAGGGCCACAGAATTGTTACTAGGCCACACAGACACAGAATTGTTACTCAGGGACACAGAATTGTTACTGAGGGCCACAGAACCGTTACTTAGGGCCACAGAATTGTTACTCAGGGGGACACAGAATTGTTACTGAGGGCCACAGAGTTACTGAGGGCCACAGAATTGTTACTTCAGGGACACAGAATTGTTACTAGGGCCACAGAATTGTTACTTAGGGACACAGAATTGTTACTTAGGCCACCACAGAATTGTTACTGAGGGCCACAGAACCGTTACTTAGGGCCACAGAATTGTTACTCAGGGACACAGAATTGTTACTGAGGGACACAGAATTGTTACTCAGGGAGGGACACAGAATTGTTACTTAGGGCCACAGAATTGTTACTCAGGGGACAGACACAGAATTGTTACTCAGGGACACAGAATTGTTACTCAGGGACACAGAATCGTTGAATTAAAGAGTATGTCAGACAACATGCAGAGAGGGTGGCAGAGGAGGCAATGTTTTAGGAGCGAGCAGACGTGGCAGCAGAGGAAGGGGTCGAGGCAGCACTATTCGCAGCCAGAGGCCAGTGCTCCCGGTGTCATCCAGCGGTCGTGTCTCCACCGACAACCCTGCCGTCGTCGATTGGTTGGCTCGGTCGTCTTCCTCTTCCCAGGTCACCTCTGACACCTACAGCCAACGGTCGGTGGGTACGTCAGACACAACCGTTAGTTGGCATGGCCCGGGACCAAGCCCACTGAAATCACGTGTCCTCTACCTGCCCCTGTCCTTTGGTGTTCCCTCACCAAGCGAAGTATCGCATGCTGTGGGCTCAGCCCCACTGTACAGTGAGGAAGAGCTAACAGAGGGCGGTCAGGAACGGGGGGAGACATCCGCCTTTTCAGCAGCCAGGCGAAGAAGTAGTGGCGAGGAGAGTGGCTCGGTAGCCGGTCTAGAGACAGGTCTGTCTCCTGACCCAGACGCAGCCGAGGGGGCTAGTAGTGAGGCGCGGAGACCCTACTTGATGATGAGGAGGTTGATCGCACTTGGCAGCCTCGTCGTCATCAGGCAATTTCTTCCGCATCATCAGGAGAAGAGGGTGGCAGCTTGGCAGCGAGCAAAACAGTCGGTGGGTTGCCCAGGAGACAGCAGCAGGGTCGCAGCAGTGTCAGTGGAGCCAAACGGCCACGGAGTAGAGCACCAGCTCCACTGCAGCCTACCACCACGGCCAGTAGTGGTGCCGGTGTGCACGGAGGAAGCAGCAGTCAGCCAGTGAGGAGTATCGGGGGCAAAGTTTCCTACTCGGCGGTGTGGCAATTTTTTGTCAAGCCGCCCGAGGAAGTAAACGTAGCCGTATGTCGACTATGTGGCCAGAAAGTCAAGCGTGGCCAGGGGGCCCATGTTGGGACTACAGCGTTGCGGCAGCATATGCAGCGTCGCCATTTGGTGGCCTGGGAAAACCGTGATAAAGATACGGCGGTTCTGCCCGCCCCAGCCCCCGCTCCATCACCCGCTCCGTTACTTGCTCCGTCACCCGACGTCAATCGCCCTCCATCAGCCAGTCAAGGCTCCAACACCTCTGCTGAGGGGAGTTGTCGCTCGTTGGCATCTTCCGCTCGTTCAGATGCTCCTTCTCCTGCTACTCCTCTTCACGGATTCCGTCAGCAGTCTTTCTTGGAATCCGTTTCCAAGAGACAACAGTTTGCGAGCACGCACCCGACGGTGCAAAAGCTGAACGTCCTCCTGTCCAAGTTGCTGGTGCTGCAGTCCCTCCCTTTCCAAGTGGTGGACTCAGCACCTTTCCGAGAAATGATGGCTTGTGCCGCGCCGCGGTGGAGAGTGCCAAGCCGTCATTTCTTCGCCAAAAAGGCAGTGCCAGCCCTGCATTCACATGTAGAAGAGATGGTGGGCCAGTCTTTGAGCATGTCGGTCTCTGCCAAAGTGCACGGCAGCGCCGACGTGTGGAGCTGTAACTACGGTCAGGGACAGTACATGTCATTTACGGCCCACTGGGTGAACGTGGTGCCGTCACAGCCGCACCAGCAACTTGGACAGGTCACGCCGCTTTTGCCTCCACGTTTGCACGTCCTTGGTCCGGCAAAGATGTCCGCCTCTACCACCTCTTCTTCCGCCGTGTCCTCAGCCGCCCCCCCGTGCCAAGTCCCATTACCCGACCGGCATATCACATGTGCAGGGCGCAACGGTGTCACGCTGTGCTGCACCTGGTATGCCTTGGCGAACGTAGTCACACAGGGGAGGAACTTCTCAGTGTAATGAACAGAGAAATCGACAGATGGCTGTCTCCGCGCAAACTCAAAATCGGAACCATGTTGACCGACAACGGAAAGAACATGGTGTCTGCTCTGCGTCAAGGAAGGTTGTGCCATGCGCCATGCATGGCTCACGTGTTCAATCTGGTTGTCAAGCGGTTCCTAAAATCCACCATCCCACTGCAAGACATCCTTAAAATGTCACGTAAACTTTGCATGCATTTCAGCCATTCCTACACCGCAAAGCACACCCTCCTTGAGCTGCAGCGGCAGAACGGAATTCCACAGCATCGCCTGATCTGCGACGTTGCAACAAGGTGGAATTCAACCCTACACATGTTAGACCGCCTTTACGAACAGCGAAAGGCCATCACCGATTTCCTGATGTTACAAGCGGATAAAGGTACTCCCCTGTGTAACTTTGATGTCAGCCATTGGCAGCTCATGCGTGACACCTGCCGCTTGCTCAGGCCCTTTGAGGAGGCCACGCTATTCGTGAGTCGGCAGGACTATGGGATGAACGACGTCATTCCTCTGTTGCACGTCCTGGAACAAATGCTGTTAACAATGGCTGGTCAGGGTGCGGTAGACGTGGCGCACAGATCTCAACGCCACATGACCCCTGTGGGGGCAGGACAGGAAGAAGAGGAGGAGGTAGAGGAGGACATTTGTGCTCAGGAATTATTGAGTGAAATGGGTGGTTTTTCCACTCAGCGGACAGGAGTGGAGGAGCAGGAGCATCATCTGGTAGAGGAGGAGGAGGAGGAGACAGAGGACCCAGACGCACCGTGGCAGTATGCTGTGGAGATGGAGGCAGGGAGTCCCTCGCATTCCTTGGCACAAATGGCCCATAGCATGCTCGGTTGCTTGCGTAGCGACAGCCGAATAATAACCATCAGACAGAGGGATGACTTTTGGCTGTCCACCTTGTTGGACCCTCGCTACCGTTCAAAAATGGTGGCCTTTTTCACACCTGCTGAGAGGGAGGCCAAAATAACGTACTATAAAAACCACCTATGTAGTCAGTTGGTCTCTGCCTTTGTGCGCCAACGTCCATCCTCAGACACTGTGGGCCCTGTGCGCTCGCGTTCCGCTGCCATGGCAGCAGGGGGGGGGGGGGGGTGGTAGGAGCAGTGGCAGCTCCACCAGCAGCGGCTGCCTCAGTCTGCAGTCGATGATGAGTAGCTTTCTTCACCAGCGCAGTGAGGGAAACTACTAACCAGCCGCAGCAGCAGCAGCAGCAGCAGCATCAGGTGGACCTGACCTGGAGCAGGACCTCAAACAACAGGCTTGGGCCTACTTGGACAGCACCCTGCCAACCGAGGTAGACAATCCCCTTGACTACTGGGCAACGAAACTTGACCTTTGGCCCCAACTAGCTGAATTTGCCCTTGAAAGGCTGTCATGCCCGGCCAGTAGCGTGGCATCGGAGCGCGTGTTTAGTGCGGCAGGAGGTATTGTAACTCCGCGGAGGACACGACTGTCCACCCAAAGTGTGGAGAGACTCACGTTTGTGAAAAAATGAATCAGGCGTGGATTAGTCTGGATTTCAAACCACCAGTTCCTGACACAACTGACTAAATCCGCCATGAATCATGCCTCAAACATGTGCCACTTTCAGGTCTCCTCACACACTGCTGGTGTGTTCCATTTTTTGTCATAGGGTGCTGGCAGATTACGGGCCTCCCATAGCTGCTGCCAGGCCCCTAATCTGCCATGGGCCCCTATATACCGCCTCCTCATGCTGCTGCCAAGTCCAGAGTCTGTCATGGGTCCCTGTACGGCCTCCCATTGCTGCTGTCTCCATCGCCACACTCTGCCATGTGCCACTTTCAGGTCTCCTCACACACTGCTGGTGTGTTGAATTTTTTGACATAGGGTGCTGGCAGATTACGGGCCTCCTATAGCTGCTGCCAGGCCCCTAATCTGCCATGGGCCCCTATATACCGCCTCCTCATGCTGCTGCCAAGTCCAGAGTCTGTCATGGGTCCCTGTACGGCCTCCCATTGCTGCTGTCTCCATCGCCCACACTCTGCCATGTGCCACTTTCAGGTCTCCTCACACTGCTGGTGTGTTGAATTTTTTGACATAGGGTGCTGGCAGATTACGGGCCTCCCATAGCTGCTGCCAGGCCCCTAATCTGCCATGGGCCCCTATACCGACTCCTCATGCTGTGACGTTGCAACAAGGTGGAATTCAACCCTACATATGTTAGACCGCCTTTACGAACAGCAAAAGGCCATCACAGATTTCCTGATGTTAAAGCGGATAAAGGTACTCCCTGTGTAACTTAGATGTCAGCCATTGGCAGCTCATGCGTGACACCTGCGCTTGCTCAGGCCCTTTGAGGAGGCCACGCTATTCGTGAGTCGGCAGGACTATGGGATGAACGACGTCATTCCTCTGTTGCACGTCCTGGAACAAATGCTGTTAACAATGGCTGGTCAGGGTGCGGTAGACGTGGCGCACAGATCTCAACGCCACATGACCCCTGTGGGGGCAGGACAGGAAGAAGAGGAGGAGGTAGAGGAGGACATTGGTGCTCAGGAATTATTGAGTGAAATGGGTGGTTTTTCCACTCAGCGGACAGGAGTGGAGGAGCAGGAGCATCTGGTAGAGGAGGAGGAAGAGGAGACAGAGGACCCAGACGCACCGTGGCAGTATGCTGTGGAGATGGAGGCAGGGAGTCCCTCGCATTCCTTGGCACAAATGGCCCATAGCATGCTCGCTTGCTTGCGTAGCGACAGCCGAATAATAACCATCAGACAGAGGGATGACTTTTGGCTGTCCACCTTGTTGGACCCTCGCTACCGTTCAAAAATGGTGGCCTTTTTCACACCTGCTGAGAGGGAGGCCAAAATAACGTACTATAAAAACCACCTATGTAGTCAGCTGGTCTCTGCCTGTCTGCGCCAACGTCCATCCTCAGACACTGTGGGCCCTGTGCGCTCGCGTTCCGCTGCCATGGCAGCAGGGGAGGGGTGGGGTGGTAGGAGCAGTGGCAGCTCCACCAGCAGCGGCTGCCTCAGTCTGCAGTCGATGATGAGTAGCTTTCTTCACCAGCGCAGTGAGGAAACTACTAACCAGCCGCAGCAGCAGCAGCAGCAGCATCAGGTGGACCTGGAGCAGGACCTCAAACAACAGGCTTAGGCCTACTTGGACAGCACCCTGCCAACCGAGGTAGACAATCCCCTTGACTACTGGGCAACGAAACTTGACCTTTGGCCCCAACTAGCTGAATTTGCCCTTGAAAGGCTGTCATGCCCGGCCAGTAGCGTGGCATCGGAGCGCGTGTTTAGTGCGGCAGGAGGTATTGCAACTCCGCGGAGGACACGACTGTCCACCCAAAGTGTGGAGAGACTCACGTTTGTGAAAATGAATCAGGCGTGGATTAGTCTGGATTTCAAACCACCAGTTCCTGACACAACTGACTAAATCCGCCATGAATCATGCCCCAAACATGTGCCACTTTCAGGTCTCCTCACACTGCTGGTGTGTTCCATTTTTTGTCATAGGGTGCTGGCAGATTACGGGCCTCCCATAGCTGCTGCCAGGCCCCTAATCTGCCATGGGCCCCTATACCGCCTCCTCATGCTGCTGCCAAGTCCAGAGTCTCTCATGGGTCCCTGTACGGCCTCCCATTGCTGCTGTCTCCATCGCCACACTCTGCCATGTGCCACTTTCAGGTCTCCTCACACTGCTGGTGTGTTCCATTTTTTGTCATAGGGTGCTGGCAGATTACGGGCCTCCCATAGCTGCTGCCAGCCCTAATCTGCCATGGGCCCCTATACCGCCTCCTCATGCTGCTGCCAGGTCCAGAGTCTCTCATGGGTCCCTGTACGGCCTCCCATTGCTGCTGTCTCCATCGCCACACTCTGCCATGTGCCACTTTCAGGTCTCCTCACACTGCTGGTGTGTTCCATTTTTTGTCATAGGGTGCTGGCAGATTACGGGCCTCCCATAGCTGCTGCCAGGCCCCTAATCTGCCATGGGCCCCCTATACCGCCTCCTCATGCTGCTGCCAGGTCCAGAGTCTCTCATGGGTCCCTGTACGGCCTCCCATTGCTGCTGTCTCCATCGCCACACTCTGCCATGTGCCACTTTCAGGTCTCCTCACACTGCTGGTGGGTTCCATTTTTTGTCATAGGGTGCTGGCAGATTACGGGCCTCCCATAGCTGCTGCCAGGCCCCTAATCTGCCATGGGCCCCCGTACCGACTCCTCATGCTGCTGCCAGGCCCGTAATCTGTCATGGGCCCCTGTTGCGCTTGTTGGCATATTCCGCTCGTTCAGATGCTCCTTCTCCTGCTACTCCTCTTCACGGATTCCGTCAGCAGTCTTTCTTGGAATCCGTTTCCAAGAGACAACAGTTTGCGAGCACGCACCCGACGGTGCAGAAGCTGAACGTCCTCCTGTCCAAGTTGCTGCTGCCAGGCTCGTAATCTGTCATGCGCCCCTTTACCGCCTCCTCATGCTGCTGCCAGGTCCAGAGTGTGTCATGGGCCCCCGTACCGACTCCTCATGCTGCTGCCAGGCCCGTAATCTGTCATGGGCCCCTGTACCGCCTCCCCATGCTGCTGCCAGGTCCAGAGTGTGTCATGGGTCCCTGTACGGCCTCCCATTGCTGCTGCCAGGCCCGTAATCTGCCATGGGCCCCCGTACCGACTCCTCATGCTGCTGCCAGGCCCATAATCTGTCATGGGCCCCTGTACCGCCTCCTCATGCTGCTGCCAGGTCCAGAGTGTGTCATGGGTCCCTGTACGGCCCCCATTGCTGCTGTCTCTATCGCCACACTCTGCCATGTGCCACTTTCAGGTCTCCTCACACTGCTGGTGGTTTCCATTTTTGTCATAGGGTGCTGTATGGCCTCCCATTGCTGCTGCCTCCACCGCCACACTGTTGCTCCACACTCTGGTTTTGGCCCCGTGACTGCCCAAATGAGTGAAGTGTGCGGTGATTCTAAGATCGACGGCACTCATCTGCATGTCATACTGACTGACAGTATTATTTCTCTTCCCCAGCAGACTCCAAGGGCATTTAAATTAAAGGTACAGTGTTCTGCACTAATATAAAGTCTCTCTGAACCTAGAAACACCCTTTTTTAAGTTAAATTCACAGCGAATATATTCGACTCGAATCGAAATTTTTCCACGAATTCGCCGAATCGAATTTTTGAATACTTCGCTCATCTCTAATCATAATGATAACAGAAAAAACTCAAATGTCCCTAATCAAAAGTTTACATATCCTGAAATGTTTGGGCTTGGTACAGACACACAAGGTGACACACACGGGTTAAAATGGCAAATAAAGGTTATTTTCCCACATCTGTGGTGGTTTGAAATTCAGTTAGTATCTGTGTATAAATAATCAATGAGTTTGTTAGCTCTAGCTAGAAACTGAACATTGGGGAGCAAAAAGAACTGTCAAAAGACCTATGTAACAAGGTAATGGAACTTTAAAAAGATTGAAAAGGATATACAAAGATATCCAAAGCCTTGAATATACCAGTCAGTACTGTTCAATCATTTATTAAGAAGTGGAAAAATCAGGGATCTCTTGATACCAAGCCAAGGTCAAGTAGACCAAGAAAGATTGCAGCCACAACTGCCAGAAGAATTGTTCAAGATATAAAGAAAAACTCACAGATAACCTCAGGAGAAATACAGTCTTCTCTGAAAAAAGATGGTGTGGTTGTTTCAAGGAGCATAATATGACGATACTTGAACACAAATGAGCTGCATGGTCGAGTTTCCTGAAAGAATCCTTAACTGCACCAATGCCACAAAAAAGCCTGGTTACAATATGCCCGACCACACCTTGACACACCTCACAACTTCTGGCACACTATAATCTGGAGTGATGAGACCCATATAGAGCTTTATAGTTGCAACCATAAGTGTTATTTTTGGAGAGGGGTCAATAAGGCTTATAGCAACAAGAATACCATCCCCACTGTGAAGCATTTTGGTGGAGCACTGATGTTTTGGGAGTGTTTGAGCTCTAAAGGCACAGAGAATCTTGTGAAAATGAATGGCAAGAGGAATGTAGCATGTTATCAGAAATACTGGCAGACAATTTGCTTTCTGCGCATAAGCCACACATGGAACACTCTTGGACTTTCCAGCATGACATTGACCCTAAGCACATGGCCAGGTTGACTTTCCAGTGTCTACAGGAGAAGTTTCTGAAGTGAAGGTTCTGAAGTGGCCATCACAGTCTCCTGACCTTAATATCATTGAGCTACTCTGGGGAGATGCAAGATGACCAAAGACTTTGCATGACCTGGAGGCATTTTGCCAAGACAAATGGGCAGTTATACCACCTGCAAGAATTTGGTGCCTTATAGACAACTATTACAAAAGACTGCATGCTGTCATTGGTGCTAAAGAGGGCAATATGCAGTATTATGAACTAAGGGCATGCAGATATTTGAATGGGGTTATTTTCTTTGTTTACTTGTTGCCATGTTTTGTTTTATAATTGTGACATTCTGTTATAACCAACAGTTGAATATGAATCCCATAAGAAACAAAAGAAATGTGTTTTGCCTGCTCACTCATGTTTACTTCACTCATGTTCACTTCATGTTTACAGATGGTACAGTATATTACCAATTCTCCAAGGGTATGCAAGCTTTTTAAATCGCAAAAATAAGTAACAAGGGATGTCAGATGATGTGTAATAATGTGATTGTATAAACAACGGATTTGTGTGAAGACGAACCAATTATTTGGTTAGCTACAACGTGTGCAGCAAAGGTTTGCAGCAATTGTTGGGTAATATTGTATGATAGCATCCTCTTCAATGTGGTAACAATATGAAATGCTTTCTAAGGGGTTTATTTACTAAAAGCAAATAAGCTGTTCTCTGTACAAGGGAAGTTTCACATTGCAAGAAAATTTAATCCGAGCTTAATAAATGTGATGAAGTCATTTGCAAGGAAAATAAAAAGCTCTTGCTTGTATATGGTTGGATGATAGAAGTCAGCAGAACTTCACCTCATTCACTAAACTGCCTTACAAATTCCATTACAAAATACAACTTCCTTTGCAAAGTGAACAGCCTGTTTACTTTTCGAGAATCAACCCAAAAAGTGAAGTAATAAGAGCAACAAATCTCACTTCTGACCAACCCTGCTAGGCATCTGCTTTTACATCTTTAGGTTTTAGCCCTTTCCTCTTTTTGGCTTTTGACTGCATGAAAGGAAGTAAAGTCCTACAGCAGACAAAGGCAACAAAGGCAATATGAGATGTTGGGGGCACTAGCCTTTAAAATGTCAATATAAGGTGAAAGCTGGCACAATTTTATAAAACCATTTATTAAATCTTGAAAAAAAAAAATTGGATAAGCCTAGATACAGAGTTTGAAAGTTTTTTTAAGGATTGTGAGGAAAGTGTCAGCCTTTCCTGTGACATGTTTTTCTGATTAAGAAGGCGCAACTAGAAAATATTTGGATGTGCCCATGTGTGCATTTCTTAAAAAGTGCTCAAAATGAAAGAATGAAGAAAACTGTACTACTAAAATACTATTTAAAGTTTAAAAACTGCTAAAGTTTCAGAGCAAAAACCCACTAAGTACAGGGCAACAGTTAGTCTTTAGCCTTGATCATATACATTTTCCTGCATGTCTAGCAATGGCTAAAATTGTCTCAAAAATAGGTACCATCAGAATTAAATGTGCAGCCCATAGGATGCCTGCAAAGGATGGTAGATCTACCGTTCTGCAGCCAGTTTCAAATTACTTCTACAGAGACTGAAAAATTCAGAATTCTATTATGCCTTAAAGTGATTATTGCTTTTAACCAACAACAGTCACCTACACAGGCTACACAGCAGGCATGCTCTTTTCTCCCCCCCCCCCCCCCACCTCATCTCAGGGGAAGCCCAGCCCAAATATCAATGTAAATATCAATGTAAATGTATAAAAAATGTATAGAAAATTCTAATCCTAAAATACTAGTATTAACTTGGTACTAAAATCAAGTTGAAAGAGTTTCCCCCAAAAGAAGGAATTCCAACCTATTGAAAAATACAAATCAATAAAAACGAGCACCAGGAACCAATGGCTGCGTAATTATGCGAACACACACTGTGCATTTCAAAAGTGCCTTAGTATCACAAAACTTTGAACTTTGTGAAAGCCCAATTGAAGAAAACTAGTTTGTTCTTAAAGCAGAAATCCGGGCAAAAATGTTTTTTCCATGTCTTTGTTACTGATCTCCTACATTCACTGGATATGGACAATTTTGACGTGATTTTACCCAAAACTTTGCCACAATTTTACCCAGAATTTTGCCGCAATTTTACCCATGATTTTGCCGCGATTTTACCTGTGATTTTGCTGTGATTTTACTACATTAGGGTGCTTTTTATCATAGGTCATGTGACTCAAAAATGCATAAAAACCACAGCACGTGTGTGTTTTTGATTCATTTTTGCGGTTTTTTCACTGCACTTCAGACCTGATTCACACCAATGCAGTTTGCATTTTATCCATTTTGCAGTGCATTTTGCATTTGCATATTTTTGATGCTTTTTTTATGTGTTTTGCGTATTTTTAATTTTTTGGGGGGCAACTTGTTGCTCATCAAAAATGCAAAATGCATCAAAAACATAACACGTGTGTGGTTTTTCTGAGTCACATGACCTATGATAAAAATGTGTTTTAGGCCTGGTTCACACCATTGAAAATGCTGTAAAAACACATCAAAAACACACA